TTCTTTCTATTTAAGATTGTTGCTTTTTTTAAAAAAATGTTGCTATCTTGCCTTACAAGAAGCCCTGGGAAGTTTTAGTCACAAAAAATAGTCAAACATAATTCAAGTGGAATTTCACTGGATCACAATTGATGAGTAAACTAGCATTTGTTTATACTAAACAAGAGCCAGGGTCCTTTAGTCAAAGAAGCAAGTACCATGTGCCTTCCAGCCAGTTACATGAAATTCAGCCTTAACTGGTTTAAATTAGCAACAAATATTTTTAAAAGAGTGATACAGTCTAGCCCATTTGCTATCTTCTTCATTATAATTGCTTTTCTCCACATTCTCTTTCATTTATTCAGCAAATATTTACTGAATACCTATTATGTACCAGGCACTGTTCTAAGTACGTGGAAGATATCAATGAATAAAGACAAAAGTCCTGCTTTGTAGCGCTTATATATTTTAGTTGAGGGAAACAGACAAGAATAATAAATAATACATCTTAAAGTGTTTTAGAATATAATACATGCTATCAGAAAATAGAGATCAGGGAAGGGAGGCTGGGAAGTGCAGAAGTAGAGGTAGGAGGTAGAGGAGGGTGCAGTGCAGTTTTACACAGAGTGGTCAGAGTAGGTCTCCTTGAAAAGGTGGCATGTGAGCAAAGACTTGAAGGAAGTGAGGCAGTTACTCATGCAGATAATCTGGAGAAAGTGTGTTCCAGGCAGAGGGAACAGTCCGTGCGAGGGCCTCAAGTCAGGCATGTGCCTGAGATGTTTTAGGAAGAGCAACGAGGCCACTGTGTCTGGAGCAGAGTAAGTGGAGGGGAACTTCACAGAGGATGACATCAGAGAGGTAACGGGCCAGATTGTGGCAGGTTTAGTGGGGCATTGTATGGACTTTGGCATTTTCCTGCAGGGAGCTTCAGTATAAAAACAGATATACTGTGTCCACTGAAAACACAGCAATAGGGAGTTCAACTGAGGAAGGTGTGTTATATCTATGAGGCTGTGTAAGAAATCCCTTTTCTATTTGAATTCGTTACATCTATAACTTTTTGATCACTTTCTTAGTTTTTCACCTAATTCTTAGCAGTGTGAGAACTTGAATGTCATGTTAATTTATAAAATCAGTCAAGCATATATATAACTTGAATATTTCCAACTGTAGATGGCTACATTAGAATCTTGGGTTTTTGTTTGTTTGTTTGTTTTAGGAGAGCATCATGAGACTATGGGAGAATTTATATATCCTTATATTCTTCCCTCTCGCTAAAAACTAATTTTTTAATGACTTTTAAAAGTCTTTGTATTTGGATTTCACTTTGATTACGAAATACATGCATTAAGCACTCTTTGTCAGAAATACCCCCAAAAGAATTTTCTTTTTGTGATTATTTAAAATTTTGTGTGTTTGACGTAGGATGGTGGGAAATGGAATTGTCACCACATGTATTTATTTGGGATTTTCGAGCCCGTGAGCTTGACAGAAGCCGTGAGGTGGGGATGGCGCTCTAACAGAGCGGTGCCTTCTCCTTCTGCCCACAGGGAGGCCACTTCGACCTGGCTGACCGGATGTTCCACAGTGTGCGTGAGGCCTGGTATTCAGCATCAAAGCACAACATGGCAGATGTAAAAGAACTTATCCCCGAATTTTTTTACTTACCAGAATTCCTGTTCAATTCCAACAACTTTGATCTAGGTATGTACAGCTGCGGCGCTGTCTTAGGAACATTAACCTGGAAAGGACCAATAGAAATGTCACTTTCCTGAATATTGTCTGCAGTACACACTGACAAGGAAGGACTTCCTTGTGGTTTGAGCAGCTGTTATTTACTATAATTGGGTATGTGGGAGTAAATATAAAAAGAAAAATAGATTTATGCCCAAAATAGCTGTTTCAAATGTGGAGTCTTGGAAAAATTTTAAAATTGACACAGATTGCATCTAATGGTCAGAATATTGTGATTTCAATAAAAACAAAGGGGAGGTGAAAATGTATTTAAAAATCATTACAGTTCAAATTAATAGCCAAAAAGGATATATCCACATTTTTCATGTATTGGGTTTTTTTTTTTTTTGAAGATTTGTTTATTCACTTGAGAGAGAGAGAGACAGAGAGAGAGGGAGAAGCAGAGTCCCCATCGAGCTGGGAGCCCGATGTGGGGCCCAATCCCAGGAACTGGAGATCTCTACCTGAGCTGAAGGCAGACGCTTAACCATCTGAGCCACCCAGGCGCCCCTCATGTATTGTTTTAATCTTATGTATTGCCTGAGGCATTCTCAGGTTGCATGCTAATGTGTTCTAAGATTAGAATTTTAGAGTAACTTTAAGTTAATTCCTCTTCTTTATCCTGTTAGGGTAGTATTATCTAGAAAAACAGAAACAAATCAATAGTCCTAAAAAGGAGAGAAATTTCGTCAGTACTCTGCTCTCTGTATAATTCAGCAGTTACAGGAAATAGATTTGATTTTGGCTACAGTTTCTTGGAACGTAGTTTGCTGATCTAGGTTTCTGAGTATTTCTTTTAAAACGTATCAAAATTCCATTGTTTCCACTTCAGAATATTCCTGCCAAATTTTGTCCTATTTTCATACATTTTTCATACTTCATATTGAAGTATGAAGTATGAAATACTTCGTATTGAAGAGTTCAACATCTAAATCATTACTATACTATTTCAAAGTTTTGTTAACAGAAAATTTAGGGAAATGTTCATATCCGATACATCTGAGTGTTTTTTCTTTTTAAAAATAGTTTTAAATAATTTTTGTTAATTGTCCATAAGCAGTTCTAACCTCATGAAATTATAGCTCCAAGTCTAATGGCAAAGATAAAAGACTCTCTTAATAGCCCCAGCAAAAGACCTGTAAGTGAGTCTCATTACCTGTGATCGGGCCTGGAGCTCACTTTTGAGCAACTAAAAACACCAAGTTCTGGGGCTTTGAGTTGTAGGGGTGATGGTTCCTTAAAGGAATAGAATAGATGGTGAACAGAGAAAAACAGCACATGCCTACACAGCATTTGAATATGGATGCACATTGGTGTTTTACTGTGTTCACTTATAATTCACTTTTGGAGAATGCTACTCTGTTCCCTGGGGACGCCACTTTCAAAGAGAAAAATAGAGAGGCACAGAAAGAGATAGCCCCAGTCTTTCAGAAACACGGAGTTATACTAATACATGTTGCAAAAATGTTTTAGTCCAAACCACTTACAAACCGAATTAAATTATCTAGTTTTAAAAAGTAAATTAAGAAAGGGTCATGTATTTTTGTCATGCTCATCTTCATAATAAATCATCTTCTTTCCATGAAATCACACACTTTAAAAAACATTATTTGCGGGCGCCTGGGTGGCTCAGTTGGTTAAGCGACTGCCTTCGGCTCAGGTCATGATCTTGGAGTCCCTGGATCGAGTCCCACATCGGGCTCCCTGCTCCGCAGGAAGCCTGCTTCTCCCTCTCCCACTCCCCCTGCTCGTGTTCCCTCTTTCGCTGTGTCTCTCTCTGTCAAATAAATAAATAAAATCTTTAAAAAAAAAAAAATTGTGATCCATTTCTCTTATTATTATAATTTTCCTCTTCTCTCTCATGGTGACTGTGACTTATTAAGCATTTCCTAATTGATCTAACATTTTATAGACTCTTTGAAACTTTTAGTAGTTGAGAGGGTTTATAGTCTTCTAATTTTCTTGACATTGTACCAGCAAAGTTACAGAAGTAGGTCCAATGCTGTTTCTTGAGTATAAGCTAAGGTATAATTCACAGAGTTAGATGACTTGTGTTTGGGTCATTAGCACTTCACTTGTCTTGGCCTCATTTTCCTAATCTCTACTGACATAAACCCACAAATTGGTGTCACTACTATGCTATGCAAGGTGTTATGGTAGACATAGAATTAGATGTTTTGATTTATTAAAAATAATGCAACGGTAGGGGTGCCTGGCTGGCTCATTTGGTAAACGTGACTCTTAATCCGGGGGTTGTGAGTTCAAGCCTCACATTAGGCATAGAGCTTACTTAAAAAAAAGTGCAACTGGGAGCTTTTCCCCCTCACAGATATTCTCAGCAGGACTTGATCTCTCTTGCTTATTTATTATACTCTTTCATATGTGAAAAGAGGGTTCTTCTTAAGGCAAAGCAGAACCTCTGATAACTCATGCTCAAAGGATAAGATTCTATGACTTAACTCTTTTCCAGAATTTAGAGCAACTATCATTGGTAGATGTAACGGGCCTTTTCTTGGAACAAGTAGAGAATATTAATTAAATATGGGGGTTAGAGTGTATTTTGAATGCTTCTCATACGTCGGCATCACATCAATTGATTTTGTCACCTCCTGTGATTATTCATAAAGTTATCAAAATGTAGACAGTAGAATGTTTCCTTAACCTGCAAGTTAAATGATCTGTCCCTGTATTTTAAAGAATTCTATTCTTTATGACATGATGATTTGATCACCTTCGTTCGTATATGAATGACCATACTGTTGCTTGTGACATAAGTCTTGAAATAGTCCTCAGGGGCCCTCTAAGTAGGGGGGGATCTCTTATAATCATATTTATAACTCTCTGTCTTTAATTTTGTTTCTGATAGTGGTTGATCATTTATTTATGGTATCCCCTTAATGACACCTGTCCATAAGCAGTACTGTCCTTACCATTAATTATGCTAAGCTCTGTTTATCATCAGCTGACACTTATTTAGAATTTACTATTAAACACGATGCTAAGCATGAATAATAACTCATTAAGTCCTCCACAACCTCCTAAGATAAATAGTATTTTTGTCCCATTTTTATAGATGAGAAAACAAGTTCAGAGAGGCAGATAATTGTCCAGGGTCACACAACTATTTAACTGTAGAGCCTCTGTCATTAACCACTGCACTGTGCTGCCTCCCTGTACCTTCCAGAGTTATCTCAATTTGGAAATGTGTAAGAGGGACTGCGGGAGCCCAGACTGCTTCCAAGTGGCCCCTGCAAGGTCACATGGCTCTCGTGGTTGTGATCCTATAGGTCTGGTCAAGCCTCCTCTGAAACGGTCTCGGTCTGCACCTGACGGAGGAGATGAGGAGAGCCAGGAGCAGCTACAGGACCAGATTGCCGAAGGCAGCTCTATAGAGGAGGAAGAGAAAACGGATAATGCCACCCTCCTCCGCCTCCTGGAGGAAGGAGAAAAGGTACTGTGCTTCTAAAGCGTAAGGGTTGCATTGAAGTAACTCGTTTGCATTTTATAACACTAACTGATAGGCTATTTACCAGGTGGCAGAAGATAAATATTTTACCCTCTGTAATGAAATACTGTGAATAGTAAGCAACCATTTGGATTCAGTACTCTACGTCTCTCCTTTTCAGGATTTTCTGACCTGGCTGAACGTGCTAAACAGCCCAGAGTTTCATGAGATACAATATTAGCAGTTGATGTCTAGTTCACTCTATTACTATAGCCTTTATTAGACCGTTCTTCTGGCCATCATTTTCTATTTCAAACCCATGCACACAACCCATTCATTCATCTGCCCTTGTACTATTTTTCTACACCTCCATAGTTCCATTAACCATCTACGAGCAGTTTCAGCCCATCAGTACTGTCATCCTCAGGCTTGTATTTAAGCCCTGTTCTCCTTCACTCACAAAAGACTACCCTACCTTTCTGTTTCCCTGTGGACCTCCTACACCCTGCCAGCCTGCTCAGGCTCACTGCACTGGCTCCGCCTTAGAAGCCGAGGCCCCTGCAGCGCTGTGTGCCCCGCAGTTCACTACATCCGTAACGCTCTTTCTTTGCTTTGCTCACTGTATTTTCTGCCAAAATGCACTTCTCTCCATCACTCGCATAATCTCCATCCTAGGAACTCCCACTGGATACAGTCTCATTTCTCGAGCTCTCTTGAGTAAATAAAAGATAAATAAATGAAGGAATGAATTAATGCGTTGTATCACCTTTTTAAAAGGATGTTCTTTTTGCCCCTCATATTGCGTCTTGATGTAACCCTTGAAATCTTACCCACTAAGATACAGTCAGAAATTAGGGGTTAATTTCAAAAATTCTGTTTGAATATACAGCTTAATTAATCTTGAATGAAAATATTTTAAAAAATCATATAATTATGGAGCGCCTGGGTGGCTCAGTTGTGACGCAGCTGCCTTCGGCTCAGGTCATGGTCCCAGGGTCCTGGGATCAAGCCCCACATCGGGCTCCTGCTTGGCGGGAAGCCTGCTTCTCCCTCTCCCCTTGCTTGTGTTCCCTCTCTCGCTGTGTCTCTCTCTGTCAAATTAAATAAATAAATAAATAATAAATTAAAAATCATATAATTATAGAAGTACATTAGGCCTGAAGGAAGCACAAGAGAGGCTTCTGGAGTCTTGGGAATGTTCTGAATGCTGGCTGCATCATATCTTTAGCATTTGAAAATTCCTCAAGCTATACACTTAGAAAAAACATTTTTGTGTTTGTATATTACACTACAGTGGGATGATTTCTTAAAATATCAGTGTTTTTCCTATAACATTCTGCATTTTTATTATTCCAGTAGTTCAGATGTGATGAAAATTGACTACAATTGTGTATTTTGCTATTTTCTAATGCTGTCATTTTTTAAACTTTTAATCTCATGAGTACAGATTTTGCTCTAATTGCTTTAAATTTGAATAGTGCAGGAAGTGTATTCAGACTGACATTTATTTGACATTTGTTTGGCTCTAGTTTAGTTGCTGATATTTTTTCCTTGACTCATGTTGAACTGAGCAAGCAAGAAATAATTTTTAGCAAGAAATAGTTTTTAAGGAAGAAAGAACTGAATCCTGCCTTTGGGAAAGAAAACAATACTTACATTGAAAGATTTAGCAACTCTTTCTTCCTATGAGGAAAATACAACTTCTGCCAGATTTGGCTTTTTACAAAGGCACAGCAGTCTGCCAGGCAAGCAGGACCCCAGGTGGGGAGCAAAGAGGGACAAATGCCGCAGTCCCCGTCCAGGAGCTGTTGTGGAAAAAGACGAAATTGAGCAGTGTGGAAGGGATGACAACCAACAGTTTCTTACACGCTTACGTACATTATCTCAGTAACTCTCACAACAAGCCAGTGTATATCTGAAAATCACAAACGAAGACACAGAGGCCCAGAAAAGTCAAGAAACTTGGCTAAATCTACAACTAAGTGCCAGGATTGGGGATTCACTCAGTTTTGTTAGACTCAACAGACCTGTTTTCCCTCTTGTCTCACAAAGGGCACAGTCCTAAGCTCCTTATGTATACTCTTCAATTCTCTTTTTTTTTTTCCTGCCAAGTTTATTGTGTTTGTCTCCTTCCTTATCTAATGTGTTCATCACTTCTAGAACCTAGTACACATGTCCTGGCACACAGCGAGTAACCTGAATAGTGGGAGAAGTGGATTGGATGGGTAGGTGTATGGATGTGAGTAAAATGGTTGTCTCCTTTTACTGAACTCAACCACAAATCAGACGGCAGTTTTAGCTGATTCTTTTTTAACATGCTTAAACTCAGGTTTCATATTCTTAGCTCAGGGGATGCCATAACAGTCTATACCTTGGTAAAACCCTGTTTGCCCATTAAATCCATATTTAAAAACATTTTGTTTCGGTTATCTCAAAAAAATTATCAGGGATTTTTTTTGGTTAACTTTATTAATGAACGTGTATGGTTTTCTTTATAGATTCAGCACATGTACCGCTGTGCTCGAGTCCAGGGCCTGGATACCAGTGAGGGGCTACTTCTTTTTGGTAAAGAGCATTTTTATGTGATTGATGGATTTACAATGACAGCAACCAGGGAAATAAGAGATATTGAAACCTTACCTCCAAAGTAAGTAAATGAATGAAGAGACACAAAGTACAGCTATCTTGAGAACAGCAGTCTATGTACATAGTTCTGTTTTAATCCAAAAATCGTGTTTGAAGTAATGTTATCTTTCAGTTTGCGTGTCATTAAATATTCACAAGGGTAATATGTTACTTCAAGGTAAGAAAACATTTGCCTTATTTATCAAAATGAAAATTAAATAAAATTTATTGTTATGCATTAGTAGCATCAAGTTCCTTATATTATAATCTGTGTATTTATAAACTTATTCAGAATTTGCAAGTTGTTGTTTTTAAATTTTAGCACAGACACAGTTGTAGAGAAAATTCAGGTAACGACACAATCCTCTAACAAATGGGAGAGTGTCCATGTCCTCTGAGTGCCCTCCAAACAGCGTGACTGAAGCACAGACAGGAACTGAGTTTTATCTTCCTTTTCCTCTGCCAGTCCTGTGATGGGATGATAGTGGGGAACAGAAACCCAGAACACTGACAAAGCCAGAAGGAAGACAGAAAGCTTGAGGCTTAGAAAGTCCACATGCTCTTCTCTCTTTAACATTTTGAACACCTAACACTGTCGGATATAGACACGGTCTCTGCGGTCCATTCCTAGGAGAGGTTTCAAATACTTCCTGTCAGCAACAGTCGGGGCCACATTATGACGTCCATGGGCCCCTAGCTCTGTATAAAAATATTAAAAATTATATTTTGTGACTGTGTTGCTTTAAAGATGAATATATTCATATTATACATTAAACCATTTTCTTCTACCAAAAAGTTCAATTTTTTTCTTCTGATTTTAAAAAAAATTAAAACATTTTCTCGGGCCCCTAAAAGCACTGTACCTGCTGTGCCTGGTAGATAAGTTGGCCCTGATAGTGGGATATTTTAAATTATATTCATCAAACAGGGTTCTTTGTTTACTAAGTAGCGGATACATTTTTCTATTAAACACATTTTTTTTTTTTTTAGAACTCAGTATTTTGTTATATTGTTCCCTGCTCCTATTCATATGTTGAAAATAACACCCTTTGTTGAACAATGAATTTACCTCTTGCTGTTTTTTTGTTTATCTTTTTTTTCTCTTGACTGCCTATAGTATGCATGAGCCAATTATCCCTAGAGGAGCCAGGCAAGGCCCCAGTCAACTCAAGAGAACATGCAGCATTTTTGCGTATGAAGATATTAAGGAAGTACATAAAAGGAGGTATCTCCTGCAGGTGAGTTGATTTAGTAGTACTAAACACTTTGTCATCTTCCTTTTTTCAGAGGATATATTATTTTAAAACTCATACTTGCCATGACAACCCTTTATAGGATCCACACTGTCCCTTACAGTATTTCCTTAGATGATTTTATGATAGGCAAACTCATGTCACATGGGTGCACAGCTCTGTGTAATACTTCTCTCTTTTTTTTAAGCACAGCCTAAAACTTGGGTAATATCTTTATTGTCCATCTTCCCCTATAGCATCCAGATCAACATAATTGTCTTTTATATAAAAATTGCATCTTCACTATAATTTTCCAATTATCGTTTTATAATTATCTTGCCATTATTCTGTTTAAGATTTTAGAAACAAAACTTAAGAGCGCATTGGCTCTGTTTATTTTGTAATTTAATCTGCTGGGAATTCATGACTCTAAAAATGTTCTTTAAAAGTTAACTTCTTCAACATTGTAGATACTCATAGTGGAAAAGCTAATATATAACCTTGTTTGTGTTTTTCTTGTTTTTCTCTTTGATCATTTTTAGCCTATTGCTGTGGAGGTTTTCTCTGGAGATGGACGGAATTACCTCCTTGCTTTTCAGAAAGGAATTAGAAATAAAGTCTATCAAAGGTATTATTTATTAGGAGTACTTGATAATGCTATCAGGGGAGGGGATGGAAGTGAAACTAGTACCAGATAAGCTAGTTTTTTAAAGTCTAGGATCTTGAGATCAGTGAATTAATGTCTTTGAAGAAAATGTTGGTTTCATTTTTGCCAACCTCTTGAAACATGATTCTTCTAATTAGCTTTTAAAGTGATGCTATTCTGTTGTGAAATACCATTTATCTTTCTGGTGACTGTAGTAGATGTCATCAAAAGCTACTTTTACCTTTGAGTCCTGTGTCTTTAAATGTAAAAGAATGAGGGAACTGTAGCTTAAAAAAATAATACTTCAGGTTCAAAATAGGCTTCTTTCCTATTTACCAAAAAAGAAGACAATGCCATTCCTTGCATCGCATACATTGCATTGAATGCAGATGAATATTTAGCTGTTAATCACTCTTAGAAATTACATGAGACCTTCTCTGGCCTTGGAAGAGAGGTTGATATCTTCATCCTCAAAAAAGTAGCATAGTCAAATAAAGCAGTTAATCTAACCTAATCATATTGTAATTTTGGTAAGCTATATTTAAAATTTGCCTTGTAAGAGAAAAAGCAGTATGTATACATGGTGCTCAAAAATATTTCTGTTGGATGTATGAATAATGAGACTTTTATGAACGGATCACAGATATGAGAGACCTTCTCTTATTCTTTGAAGGGTGGTATCGATCCTTGCAAGCCCTCTACTAAGGGAAGTTTTATATCTCACATTACTTCTGTGAGGAATGTCTGATGCCAAGCAACGTTGCTTATCATTGCGGTACAGTAATAGTACCTGTGAGCACAAGGGGATGAGGGGGGTTCTTCAGACCAAGTGCCTGTGGATGATGATTGGTAATCCAAAACTCCTTTCGCATGTGGGAACAGCTAATAAAGTGACTGAAATTTTAGTTATCTATCTTATTCACTTCTAAAGGCGATGTTGTTTTCAACACTAGGAAACTATTTGCTCTTCATAATTAGCAGCTGTTACAAGGAGAGGAGTTTGTCTTTCTCTGAGAAATGTCTGTGTATGTGCCCAGTTCGGGGTCCACGTCTATTCTAAGAATTTTCCCATAACTCTCTTCTACCTTTAAAATATTTGTGTTGACATTGTGAGCAACTCTGAAAAAGATGTAGAAGTGTCACATAAAGTTACCTTGGATGTATCTTCATTAGTTTAGTGTTGTCCCTGTTCCGTCACTGTTTAGCTTTCATTGTTACTTGCTGTCATGTGAATATTTGGCTGTTAATCACTCTTCAGGACTTCATTAAGTTGACTCAGTTTCTGTGCATCAGTGTTGCAGGGCTTTTTCTTCCAGTAATATGACAGCATATTTAAAATCCAGAATGATAGATTTTGCTGTGGCCCTTCATACTTGGCTTTGGAAGCCATCATCTGACACTTTTTTATAACAGTATTCCAATTATTGTGTATTCCCTTAGCTTGCTGTTTATGGGGTAGTGGAGGGGTAAATGCAATAGTCGAGGTCTGCATGAATCATCCTTTCTGAGGCTCCCATTAGGTCCTGACTTTGACTTCATTTCCAATTTTATGCCATTTTTAAATTTTGCAGGTTTTTGGCTGTCGTGCCATCTCTTACTGACAGTTCAGAGTCAGTGTCTGGGCAACGACCGAACACAAGTGTGGAGCAAGGGTAGGTTGTTTGCTTCATGCATCATAGTTTAATAGTGAAATTAGGATGGTTTGCATCTGCACAGTATCATTTGATATTTTTAATGAGTGTTTTCCCCTCCTAGTGGTTGCACAAAATGTTTTAAATGCTGAAAACTTAAAAGGAAAAAGACACGGTATGCATGACACTCCTGTCAGATCAGCACTCACGGTTTGATGGATTTCCTGGAGTTTTTTAAGCAGCATATGGTCCCGTTTGCATCCTTGAGTTCATACTCTAAACACAGATTTTTATTCTGCTTCTTCTATGCAGTGTTATATGTAACTGTTTCCCTCTGCATTTAAAAAATTCTTCAGATGGGCGCCTGGGTGGCTCAGTCGTTAAGCGTCAGCCTTCGGCTCAGGTCATGGTCCCAGGGTCCTGGGATCGAGCCCCGCATCGGGCTCCCGGCTCAGCGGGAAGCCTGCTTCTCCCTCTCCCACTCC